AATATGGTGGAGAATTGTAGAATGACAGCATTTTGTTCATTTTTATTTTCCTGACCGTCAACTGAAGCTTACTAGTCGATAGTTAACCAGTAAGATTAGAATGTCTTTTTTTTTGGTTTTATGCAGGGCTTTAAGCTTTATATGCACGGATAGCAGCGTAAACAAGACCATGAGGATTCAATCGTCGCATCATGCACCTGCAGCGCTTCTGTGAAAGGAGAAAAAAAAAGAAATTAATCTATAAAAGGAATAAAATAAAAAGGCATATACAAAATATATCGCACACAATATATACACAGGCTCGTGAGCCCAATGCCGTTTCAGTTTTGCTTGACATTTGTATGCTATTTATAATGAATGCCACTATAGCCTAATTTGTGTTTTATTTAATAGTTTAATATATAATTTTTATAATTACTTATTTTTCCTTCTTGTTACCGTTAAATTTAATTGTAGAGTGGTAGAGTGAGGGGAACTAAATAGGCTGTTTATATTTACCAGTATTTTAATATAAATTACATAAATTAATGTTGTTTGGAAAGGGGCGAGGCTTCTAAACCAGGGTGTTTTTAGGGGCGTGATATTCAAATGACGACTGTTTTCTGCCGCCACATTTATCAACATGCGATCATTCGTATGAGATTGGCGGCATACGAATGTGTCATGAATCACACATGAACTCTGTCGTAAGTTGGTTTGTGCGCACGGATCTGCGCTTTTTTCTACGTTAGATTGATAAATGAGGCCCAGTATGTTTACCCACACATGGCTGATAGTCTTTATAATGAATAAATTATATTATATAATATATTTGTGGCGAGGGGGGCGTGGTTCAGAAAAGTCTGCACCAGGAGAGAGAGGCAGGAGACGAGCGGTGCGTAAGTAGGTCAAGCGCAAATGATAATCACCTGTGTCTCATTTCAGTAATTGGTGTGGAGAGACCAGATAAAAGGGGCCACCTGGAGCATGGAAGGCAGAGAGAGACTGACTGGGAACGCGAGCCACCCGGGAAGCTGGGCTACTGAAGCAAAGCAGACATAGAACTATATTCTGAGTTATTGAGACGGAGAGTTTGGTGGCGCAGTGAGCGCCTTGTTCTGTTGTATTTACTGAGAGACTTGAATAAATACTCGCGTCCCAGTAAGCCGACCCTGTCTTCTTCCTTCCTTCCTCTTGAACCGTATTACACTGGTGCCGAAACCCGGGAAGGAAGAAGAACGCCGACGCCGGCATGCAGTCCCCGTCAGGATCGCCATTTACGGAGGTCATCCAATCGCTCGCGGGTCTTCACCAGGAGCACCATCAAGCGCTGCTGGGCTTGAGGGACGACCAGGAGCGGCGGTTTCATGCCCTCATCCAAGCCCAGCAGGAAGACCGCGAGCTGTTCCGGAGCTGGATTGACCGGGAGGTTCGGGCTGGGGGAACGACATCTGCCCCAGCACCACCCACCCACGTGCCTCTCCACAAGATGGGGCCCCAGGACCCGGAGGTGTTCCTGGACCTCTTCCAGAGGTCGGCGGAGGCCGGTGGGTGGCCCGAGGAGGACTGGCCAGGGCGGCTCATTCCCCTGCTGTCGGGGGAAGCACAGGTCGCCGCACAAAAGCTTCCAGTCCAGAACCTCCTGGTCTACAAGGACCTCAAGCGCGCCATCCTTCAGCGGGTCGGCCGGAGCCCTGAGCAGCATCGCCAGCGCTTCCGGTCGCTGGACCTCGGGGAGGGGGGCCGACCCTTCGTGATGGCGCAACAGCTCCGGGACGCCTGCTGCAGATGGCTGATGGCCGAGAAAAGCGACGTCGAGGAAATCGTCGACCGAGTGGTGCTGGAGCAGTTCGTGGCACGGCTGCCGAGGAAGACTGCCCAGTGGGTCCAGTGCCACCGCCCGACGTCGCTGAACCAGGCCATCCAACTGGCGGAGGACCAAATGGTGGCGTGCCCCAGGGTCGGCGAACCCCTGCCATCTGTCTCTCTCTCTCTCCCTCCCCCTGTGTCCTCTCTGCCTTCCAAACCTGTCCCTTTCCCCAGGTCCCGAGGGAATCTGCCCCCGCGAGCCCCACCCCGCTGGAGGGGTGGTCCAGGGACGGAACCCACAGCTGCCCCGAGGGTGCCGCCCAGGGGGGCGGGTCCGGCAAGCAGCAGCCCGGCGGCAGCTACCGTTCCGCCGCTCTCTCCACACCAATTCCTTGACCCACTTCCTGGCACTAGGGCGGCCTGGGCCGGCCTGCTGGTGTTGCGGGGACCCAGGTCATTTTATCGATCGGTGTCCAGGGATGGAGGTGGGGACACTGATCCGGGTCCCGGATGCCCCGCAGGCTGCCCCCGATCAAGCTGGCCTGTACCAGATACCCGTGAGTATTAAGGGGGGTACATAACAGGCTTTGGTGGATTCAGGATGCAACCAAACCTCAATGCATCAAAGCCTGATTCAGCCGGAGGGATTGGATAGGAGCCGCATGGTTAAGGTTCGGTGTATGCACTGGGATGTGGTGGAATACCCCGTAATATCGGTGGCTATTCAATTTCGGGGTAGTTGGTTTTTTGGTTGGTTGGGGGGGGGGGGGGGGGGGGGGATTCAGAGATAAACAAATAAACGTCCCTCAAAAGCCTGATGTTTCATATTTGATACATAATTTTCATAAAAATAAAAAAAAACCTGATGTGTAAATAATCAAGCAAACTAATGTAAAAGTTATTTTTACCTTATGAAAATCAGAAGATCTCACAGCAAAAATATGTTTACCACAACTTGAATGGGGGCATTTTAAAAATAATACTAAAAGGGCTTTTACTTGCTAATGCAAAGAAATACATGTTTCTGTCAGTTATAATCTTCCATATGGCATATGATGTGATTAATTAAACACTGGATCAAAACAAGATACAGCTTGTCAACTGATTGTTGTTGCAGCATGGTTCAATAAAGGTTATTTGAAATTTACAATTTATTTGAAGTATTTGAAGGTTTTAATCACCTGATGGTCTTCAATTTATAGTGTCCATCCTGTAGTAAATCACTGAGCTGCTTCACTCCTGATTGTCCAGGATCATTTCCTCTGAGATCCAGCTCTATCAGGTGTGAAGGGTTTGATCTCAGAGCTGAAGCCAGAGCTTTATAACCTTCTTCAGTGACACTGCAGTCTGAAACTCTGTATATGAAAGAAGCTGTTAGGTATTGCATGTTCTGTGCTAAATAAACAAAATGAAGAACACTTCAAGTTCAAACCAATATTGTGATGCTAAATAATAGTTAGAGAAATTATCAACAAGTTAGAAAAAATATTGCCATAGAGCATGCAAAAGTGTATGCTAATATAATAGCATTTTAAAATTGGAAAATACATGCATTGACCAATGATTTAATGCTAGCATCTTAATAAACTATTTGCCCAAAGAAAATTGTTATTATTCATTCATCCTTGCGTGTTTTGTTTTTTCTCAAAACACAAAAGGAGATGTTAGACAGAATATTAGTCTAAGTCAAATTTGACAGCAAAATCCCCCGAGTTAAATCAACTCACATATTGTCCCAATCTACAGAGTGTTAAATTAACACTGAAGCCGAGTTAAAGTTAATGGGATAATTAAGCAATTAATTAATTGATGAGTGTGCATTAGTAAAGAAAACCCGCTGTTAACTATGTTGAAGATGATCAACTACTGCTCAGGCTTTTAGACATGAAAACATATCACATAATCCTTAACAGTGGTAACTCTGCTTCAGTGTTAATTTAACACTCTGTAGATTGGGACAATATGTACTCTGAGCAGAGTTGATTTAACTCGACGGATTTTGCTAAAGTGAGTACAGACAGTAACTGAAATTATAGCCTCCAGGTTTTATTTTTTTCAGGTAATCTAATCAAATTAACACTATAAATTCAAATGTAGAAATGTACATGAATGAAAATACACACTTTAGTTTTTCCAATTTGCATTCTGTGCTTTTAAACAGAGGACAGATCTTCTCTATTCCTGAGTTTTCTAGTTTATTTCCACTCAGATCCAGCTCTATCAGGTTTGAAGGATTTGAATTAAACGCTGAAGTCAGAGCAGCACAACCTTCTGCTGTAATACTGTTGTTATTCAGTCTGCAGAGAAAAAGAGAGAGTGAGAGTGAAAACAAAAAACAAAAAGACTGGAAACATTCTTCAGATTATTTCATTCACAACACACAACTAATACCTAAAGAAGGATAAATCTGTATGATGGCTAAACTAATCTTAGTCCTCTAAAAAAGAATCACAATGCCAGTATTTAGAAAATGAAATATCAAACAATATTATACGTTAAGGGTATTTTATAAAGTATTAAACCATGTGAAATACACCCAAAAACCTGCAGAAGAGAAGATGAAGCAGGATTCAATTCAACTAATATTGAGGTAATGAAAAACAGCATCTGGTTCAGATGGTAAACAGTGTTAAACTGTTATGAAACACTTTATTACAGAAATACAATTTCTACAAATAATTAACTTGCTACATAATTTATTTTGTATTATTTCATCATGTCTCACCTCAGTGTCTTCAGTTGACAGTCTGGATCCTGTAGTAAATCACTGAGCTGCTTCACTCCTGATGGTCCAGGATCATTTCCTGTGAGATCCAGCTCTATCAGATGTGAAGGGCTTGATCTCAGAGCTGAAGCCAGAGCTTTATAACCTTCTTCAGTGATACTGCAGTCTGAAAGTCTAGAGGCAAAAAACAACAGGAAGAAAATAAAGTCTCAAATGTTGTTACTCAAGTTTAAATTTTTCAGATAACAATATTTATAATTCTCAGCTTTCCAAAAATGTGCATTTGTCAATATTTAAGAAATGTTTCAAGACAGATGCATACTAACTTGTTTACGTACAAAAGTGATATTGCTGACAGAAATTTTCAGTTCATGTTTAAATTCACCAAAACCTAACCTGAGTATCTGCAGTGTGCACTGAGAGTTTCCCAGTAGACCGGAGATTTCAGTCACTCCTGAGTTTTCTAGTTTATTTCCACTCAGATCCAGCTCGATCAGGTTTGAAGGATTTGAATTAAATGCTGACGCCAGAGTGGCACAACCTTCTGCTGTAATACTGATGCAATTAAACCTGTATAAGAAAGTAAACAAATAAGCTATACATATAATTATGGAACTAGTAGGTTTGGCTATTACTACTTTAGTCCATCAATATGAGAATTTCATGATAAAATTATCTTTAGTAGTTTTAGTACTTTGTTTTACAAATGGACTAAAATACTTACTTCAGTTTTTTCAGTCTACATTGTTCATTCTTAAACAGAGTCGAGAAGATCTTCATTCCTGAGTTTCTGAGTTTAGTCCCACTCAGATTCAGTTCTGTCAGATTTGAAGGGTTTAAATTTAAAGCTTCAGTCAGAGCATGACAATCTTTTTCTGTGATCTCGCTGTTATTCAGACTGTGTTAAGAGGAAACACAGTTACACCATTAACAATTACAAGAACTAAATATTTACCAATAGTTATAAGTCAACACTTTCTGGTAAACAATATATAAAACATCCAACAGCAAGTTCATAAGTATTAAAATTGTCATAATACTGATAAAACTTACATCAGTGTGTTGAGTTTACAGTGTTTGTCCTGCAGTACCATAGCAAGTTTCATTAATCCATAATGTCCTAGTTTAAGTTCACTCAGATTCAGTTCTCTCAGCAGTAACAGGTTTTCACCCAGAACTCTATTCACATACTGACAGGCTTCATCTGCAGCAGAACCCAAAAACCTGCAGAAGAGAAGATGAAGCAGGATTCAATTCAACTAAACTTGGTGTAATAAAAATAATATCTGATTCTGATGGGAAATGAGAAATTGTTTATCTTGAATTTACTTTAATGCAACAGATTACATTAGTGAAATAATAATGTGTATTAATTCAACAGCAAGTCATTGTAAACTGTAAGATAAAACCTTAAAACACATACTTAACATTATTTCATAAAACATTTGAGGAAACAATCAAAAACAAACTAAAGGTTACGATACACAAGGCAACTTTTTGAGAAATATTGCTGGGCAATGATGCTATCAACGGGCAACCACACACAGGGCCCACGACTGATCTAATTATCCAGACAGAAGTTTGTTGCCCATTCTCAATGGAAAAGTGCCCAAACAACATTGCTTGGCAACATTGCTCAAAAAGTTGCCCTGTGTATAATCACGTCAATACAAAAACTATATTATTATTAAAATTAAATATTCATTCATTGAACTCACCTGAGTTTCTGCAAAGTGCAGTTTGTATTCTCTAATCCGTTCTGGAGTTTCTTCACTCCTGAATCCTGCAGATTATTGTTGCTCATGTCAAGTTCTTTCAGACTGGAGTTTGATCTCAGGACTGTAGCAAGAGCTGAACAGCTTTCCTCTGTTAGACCACACTTACGCAGACTATAATATTAAACATGAGAGAGAGAATTTACAAACACAAAGTGCATGCATGCTAACATTTAGTGACTACTGAGAATTACTGTGTTTTGGTCACCTGATTTCTATAACATACTGTATATCTACAATAATAAATGAACACAATACTCACGTCAGTGTGTTGAGTTTACAGTGTTTATCCTGCAGTAGAGCAGAGATCTGATTCACTCGTGTGTCTCCTAGTTTACGTTCACTCAGATTCAGATCTCTCAGGAGTAACGGGTTTTTAATGTGAAGAAATTCAGTCAGATATTTACAGGCTTCTTCTGCATCAGGACTTTGTAACAACCTGGACACAGAAAATGTACAGACATTACCTGCTATACAGTGATTTATTTTCACAAGCTTGTGAAAAGCCTTTAGTCATTTTATAGCTCTTACAATTGTCTTTTTAACAGTTTAATTTATTTAATTTGAAACTTTAAGATAGATATTTTGACTAGAAACAAGACAAAATACTAAGTAAGATAATCCATTTTTGCAGTGTACTGTGGCTATAGTGTGTCACGTGACAAACAATGCGTCGCCATGGATATAATAAGGTGATGTTGGAGGGTCAGCTAGAATATTTTAAACTTGTGTGAAAGGGTTAACAGTAAAGGTCTCATCACACTACATTCATCACAAACTGTGCTACAGTGATATGTGAGTAACATGTACTGTATGTACACTATTTTTAAGAAAATCAAGTTTAAACTTTGAGAGTAAAAATAATTATTAATAAAAACTGTAAGATAAAACCTTAAAACACATACTTAACATTATTTCATAAAACATTTGAGGAAACAAACAAAAACAAACTAAAGGTTACGATACACAAGGCAACTTTTTGAGAAATATTGCTGGGCAATGATGCTATCAACGGGCAACCACACACAGGGCCCACGACTGATCTAATTATCCAGACAGAAGTTTGTTGCCCATTCTCAATGGAAAAGTGCCCAAACAACATTGCTTGGCAACATTGCTCAAAAAGTTGCCCTGTGTATAATCACGTTAATACAAAAACTATATTATTATTAAAACTAAGTATTCATTCATTGAACTCACCTGAGTTTCTGCAGCGTGCAGTTTGTATTTTCTAATCCGTTCTGGAGTTTCTTCACTCCTGAATCCTGCAGATTATTGTTGCTCATGTCAAGTTCTTTCAGACTGGAGTTTGATCTCAGGACTGTAGCAAGAGCTGAACAGCTTTCCTCTGTTAGACCACACTTACGCAGACTATAATATTAAACATGAGAGAGAGAATTTACAAACACAAAGTGCATGCATGCTAACATTTAGTGACTACTGAGAATTACTGTGTTTTGGTCACCTGATTTCTATAACATACTGTATATCTACAATAATAAATGAACACAATACTCACGTCAGTGTGTTGAGTTTACAGTGTTTATCCTGCAGTAGAGCAGAGATCTGATTCACTCGTGTGTCTCCTAGTTTACGTTCACTCAGATTCAGATCTCTCAGGAGTAACGGGTTTTTAATGTGAAGAAATTCAGTCAGATATTTACAGGCTTCTTCTGCATCAGGACTTTGTAACAACCTGGACACAGAAAATGTACAGACATTACCTGCTATACAGTGATTTATTTTCACAAGCTTGTGAAAAGCCTTTAGTCATTTTATAGCTCTTACAATTGTCTTTTTAACAGTTTAATTGATTTAATTTGAAACTTTAAGACTATTATTTTAAGAACACTCACCGCAGTGTTTTCAGTGAATAGGTTTGAGTCTGTAGTAAATCATTGAGCTGCTTCACTCCTGATTGTCCAGGATCATTTCCTGTGAGATCCAGCTCTATCAGGTGTGAAGGGTTTGATCTCAGAGCTGAAGCCAGAGCTTTATAACCTTCTTCAGTGATACTACAGTTTGAAAGTCTACAGAAAATAATTCCAAGAATTACAATTGACTGTGGTTAAAATTATTTAATTAGTGGACAAATCACAAAATATGACTACATTACACTACAGCTGAATAAATGACCAAATACGCAGATAAACGGATAACATATGCAGGAACACAAACACTTTTAGTTTTATTCTGTCATCATTTATTATGTGAGTGAGGTGATTAATCAGCTATTACCTGATTAATTTGAACTTAAACTGATTCCAATGTAAAGAAAATGTAAATGCAAAAAATTTAAAGAAAAGCTTATATTTAAAACTGCAACACATTTGAAAAATAATTATTCTGACTATGTGCCATTAAAGCTGAGATTCTCCCATTTTCAGTGATATATGACACATGTATGGGAAAAAAGTTTTGTAAAACAGGGCCCATATTCACAAAACATTTTATCTTACCACTAAGAGTTCTCCTAAATAGAGAATAGAGAGAAGTCTTAAACTAAGAGTAAGAGTGGGTTGACCTCGTTGCTATGGATGATGTCAGCATCCTTACTATGCACACAGTGATTGGCTGAAAGGGGAGGGGTCTCTGTCAGAGATTTATTCATGGAAATATTAAAGAGTGCAAAATTATGTTGCCGTATTAATATTGTATTGGTTTTAATAGTAACTGTGGAGCCTGTGGGTTTCTACTGGTAATTGGTCGCCTTTTATTGGTAGCTTGTTAAAACCACTAAATCCTAATGGAATATGTCTCAAACCACACTACAGGAATCCATTTTTTAATGCTTTTAATGGTTAAAAGTTGATGGTTTGTAATGTTTATAATGGTATTTGTAGTGGAAATCATTAGAATTTCTGTGATGGTTTGTATTGTGTATTTCTTTTTCAGCAGGGAGGATAGTTTGTGATTTGGTCTTAGCGACTTAGGAGTCCTCTTCACTACTCCAGACATTTCACAGATTTAGGAGCTAGTTTTAGCGCTAAAATGCTTTGTGAAATACTCTTAGAGCAAAAATTTAGGAGTCCTACATTTAGGATTGACACGCCCATTATTTTTCAGATTTTTTCTTAAATCGGGAAGTTATGAGCTACTTTTAGCCTTAAGATGTTTTGTGAATATGGGCCCTGGTTTATTTATTATTATGTGCATGCCCAAAAAGCACAAAAAGATTGAAAGGAATGGGGGGAACCACAAGAGTTTGAGTGTAGCAACAATTACCAAGTCAATTCACTGAAATTATTTGTATAACGTTATTAGTGAAATGAAACAAAAGTAGAAAATGTCATTAATATATAAATGAATATAGAGAATTTATGTAGATCAGGGGTTTTCAAACCTGTCCTTGAGGCCCCACAACCCTGCACATTTTGTATGTCTTCCTCATCTAACACACCTGATTCAACTCATCAGCTCATTAGAGACTGCTTAGTAGAGAAGACCTGAACTGGGTGTGTCTCATAAGGGAGACATACAAAACATGTAGTGCTGGGGGGCCTCCAAGACAGGGTTGAAAACCCCTGAAGTAGATCATCTAATTCATGTCTTAAAAATTTGTATTAGCTGCCTTTTATTGCTAAGTGATGCTTTAACCACAGACTTGAAAAGTTAGAAGGTGAACGTGTTGGAGCCCATTGCCTCATGTATTGAGCTCTGCTGTTGGGCAGATAAACTAGTTAAAATAATTCAGATTCACAGAAGCAAATGTAGTACTTATGAACTTATGTGAGTTTGTTATTCAGAACAAATTCAAGCAGCATAGTAAATGTCAAGACAGTCTGCTTACGTTTTACGGTTACATAGTACAACACTGTATTTTAGATTTACACATTTAATAGGTGTGCATTAAGATTTATATTACTGAATCATGTGTTATATTACCATTAAATTAAGAAAAGGAGAAAAGGTAAAGGTTTACTATGCATCGGAGCATTCAAAGTGGAAGCACATTCAATATGGATTTGCTAAATGTTATTGTTGTCACATTACTTAATATCTGTCACAAATAATGCTTAAAATTTACATTTAATAATTCCTAAATTAAATTGAATAATTTACACATACTATGGACATAAATTTTTTTGTATCTGTCCTTATTTAAGTCCTTATTTAATAGGAAAGAGAACTACAGTACTACTGCATATGACCTGGGGAAACAACCAGTGTTTCCCATTCATTAAGTAGGCTAGCCACAGTGTAATCTGTCCGGCCAAAGTTTAATAATCAACCGAAAATATGATTGAACTTCTCAATCTAACATGAAAGCTTTTTTTTTTTTTTTATCATTGCTTTGGCAAAGTATCTGTTAAACAAACTAAAACCAAAAGCACACTATGGCTTAATTAGGAATGGGTACCAAAACCCGGTATTAAATCGGCCCTGGTGCTAAATTATGAAAGACCAGAGTATCGATAAGCTCTGACATTAACGGTTCTGCTATCGGTACTTGGGAAATTAAGAAAATACACATACATTTATTATTGCTATATATACATTATCTTGTCAATTCTATCTCCACTTAGTCGCCAGCTGTTTTTATATGCAATAATATTAGGACATTTGTCTATGATGCATTTTTGCTATTCGTAATTCAGAAGAGAGATCACTCTCACATGAAGGAGCTACAGAGCGCGCAACATGAAAGCCGTTTAACTGTGATGATAGAGGACAGAACTAAACAATCAAACGTCTGCTTACACTTTAGGCCTGTGTCTGTGATATTAAGCCAATTTTATTGTTGATTTAGATGTTGGCTTCCAAGGATTATAAAAAAGAAGATATGAGGTAAAACTATTCTTTCAACTTCTTTACCTTCACAGCGGTGCACATTCGTTCCTCCCTAAAACCCAAACTTAACGTCAGAATCAGCTCAATCAGTGATTGTTTCAAAATGCAGTCTTTATTGTTGCTAAATTGCGGGACATGTTTGATAAAACGTTGAATCACAATAATCTGTGCGAAATATGCTGTTCCCCAGGCTTGTGTGTGCGGACAAGCACACACAAAACGGACAAGCAAATTACACTTTGGGCTTCGAGCGTGCTACCAAACGATCAAATACACACACAAATATGTCAAAGTGGCTGGCTTGGAGAGTATTCACTTAAACACAGTTTATGTCTTGGACGTTGTGAGAAACAGCTGTGAGAAAATCCGATGTGTCAACATGATCTCATGAAAGTGCGTATCAATACCACGAGTTTCTGTTTCTATTTGGCATACTAATTATATGCAGAAATTGACTTTGGCGTGCATATGATACGCAATGGTTAGGATTACTGGTGTGGGGTAGGTGCGTATTATATGTACGCCAAAACTGCGTATCATATTCACGCGAAAATTGTGTATTATATGCACGCCAAACATGTGTGTTTCATATGCATGCCAAAATCAATTTCTGCTTATAAATAGCACGCCAGAGAAAATCCCTCACGGCTCTTAATCTGAATACATTCGCTTTAATAAGCATTAATCTATCAAATTATGCAGTGAAATCTATGCAGTGTCAACTTTTCACAAAAAAAAAAACAAATTTCACTGTTTTTTATCCTGACAAAAAATGACCAGCTAACATGAATTGACTAATCATATCAGCAGCACATGTGAAAGTGTGAATGAGTACTAGTCAGGTGAAATCACTATCATACTAAATAGATTGTAAGAGCAGACTGATGGAGGGAAGAAGCGTATGAAAGAAAAATAATGCCATATGTCTTTGAAACAAAAAAGCACGTTGTCTTTTTTTGTTTCAAAGACATATGGCATTATTTTTCTTCCATAGAAGCTCTTCCAATCATTGTGTTCTTGTTAGCAATGGTTACCTCCAAAGAAACACGTGCAGCCATCATCACTTTGCATCAAAATGGCCTCACATGCAAGGAAATTGCTACAAAGAATATTGCACATGAAAGAACCATTTACCAGATCATCAAGGACTTCAAGGAGAGAGGTTCGACTGCAATGAAAAAGCCTTCAGGACGTCCCAGAGTGTCCAGCAAGTGCCAGGACCGTCTCCTCCTGAAGAGTCAGCTACGGAATCGTGTCACCTCCAGTGACACTTGCTCAGGAATGGCAGCAGGTTGGTGTGAGAGCATCAACTTTTGGACAACGGCCTGGTGTCAAGAAGGGCAAAAAAGAAGTCACTTCTCTCCAAGAAAAACGTCAAGGACAGACTGAAATTCTGCAGGAAGTACAAGGATTGGACAGCAGAAGACTGGTGCAAAGTTATTTTCTCTGAAGAAGCTCCCCTTCGACTGTTTGGGACATCTGGAAAATCGATTGTTCGGAGAAGAAAAAGTGAATGAGTCCTGTGTTGTGCCAACAGTGAAGCATCCCGAGACCATCCATATGTGGGGTTGCTTTTCAACCAAGGGAGTGGGCTCTCTCATAATTCTGCCCAAAAACACTGCCATGAATAAAGAATGGTATCAAAACGTCCTGCAAGAGCGACTTCTTCCAACGATCCATGAGCAATTTGGTGATGATCCGTGCATTTTCCAGCATGATGGAGCACCATGTCACAAAGCAAGAGTGATAAAGAAGTGGCTCGAAGATCATTACATTGAAATTTTGGATCTGTGGCCAGGCAACTCTCCGGATCTCAATCCCATAGAGAACCTGTGGTCAGTCCTCAAAAGGCGAGTGGACAAGCAGAAGCCCACAAATTGTGATCAACTCTGAGAACTAATAAGG